TGAGGAAAAAAGACACTCAAGAGTATATAAGAGCAGTGTTGAGTCTCTAGTGCACCAAAATGAAGTGCAGTGAACACGTTCACAATGTTAGATATTATCTGCGTGTAGTCTGATTATTTTCTTTAAGTAGATCTGCTAAAATCTTATAAGCAAGTGACTCTCCGAAGTAGGTAGGCGGGCAATAGGCAATTCGGTAGACGAAAAGATGACTAGTTGGGAGGTTGCAGACGTAGAAAAACGGAAGGATGTTAACTAATGCCAAATACGACAATTTCCATGGGCTCCATCGAACTGCAACAACGATGAAGTCGAGGAATTCGTATAGACGTGACGAAGTTCCATATAGATGTGACAAACTTTTACAAGGGACACACGCAGCAGGAAAATGGTGAAAAAACTTCTATCAAGCTTTCCTCAGATTTTTCGATCAAGCTTTAATCTGTATGGACACTGTACAGAGTTTATATTGCTCAGCTTACACGAGGTTGATATGAGATGTTTATTCGGCTAACGTTCCGACGTCTTACTCTTCATCGGAGCCGTCGACCCTTGTCGATTGTCCACAGTTGTTCTACTCTTCTAGTCTACTCGATGTGGCACCTTCTTCTCGCATCGAACCGGATCTTCCTCAGTTGAGCAAGACGAATGAGACACATGAGACAAGACACTCACGACGCTCCTTTATACAGGGCAGTTGTTGTTTATATGATTATCAGTTGATTACAGCTTGTTCTTCAACTGATAATCCACCAGGCAGCAGTCGGTATTGTGTTAGCTAGCACATGGCAAATAGCAAAGTACAGAGTTTCCTTTCTAAACTTTTAATTTAATAAACTAAATTTAAAATCAGAGAAGTTAATTGGAGAAATTTTGAAATTATTTTCCAATACTTACCAAATATTCTGTTGCGTGGTGGTGGCCCTGGTGCTCCTCATCTGCACCAGAGAAGTTCGACCAACTACCTGTGTGTATCTGGGAGAAATGATTGAATATACAGCTCTGGACAAAGCAGGGTAAAAACTCAGAACCATTTGTTTCTGCCAAAATTTGGAAAGAAAAGTAATCTCTACCTTAAGTGGTGGTAAATAGATTCTGAAAGATTCCTTCATCAAACTAGTTCTACACCTCAAATGTTAACTACAACATCGTCATACTGTTAGATGAGAATTTATTCCATGTGATAAGCCGATTATTATACTGTAAAAGTTTTTTCTCGGAATATGCGACAGTAGATAACTTGGTTCATGTCGCGTTCTTTTTACGGTCCGTTTAAGAAGCAAATAACCAATGTACGGTTGAGATGAGGAAAATGCTGGCCTAAAAGAGCCAATTTCCTATGTACAGGACCAAACTGCGAGGAAGACACGACGGTGGCTATCTATGTGGATGTGAATGTGTTTCGCAGAGAAGATAATGTCTTTCGCTAGGTCACTATTGGAGACTTCGTCGTCAAGATTGGCCGTATTAATACGTCTCAAAATCATCGGCACGTACTAGAAAGGAACTAATAGCTAGTTTATTACGACTATCACCACCATCCGTGGCATCTCACAGCTAAATTTAGAGTTGGAGTTAGTTTAGTTATCCTGTAAATATACCCTATAGTATCCTACAATTTATCGTTAAAGTTTGCGATTATTGGGGTTACATTGGGAATTATTTTTGTGCTTCTTTTACGCGATTCGTCTTCACACCTACTTTGCAGGTTATATATAACACTTTCTGGTGAGCTCGTTTCCTCGCATTCACCATCGACGATGGTCCTTGAATTTTTAGCGTGTGGTTTCGGCTGTTTTTCACAACTGTCGCCTTCTTTATTAATGTCGTTCAATGCTGGTCGGTTCGATTCTCCCTTGAGTCCTGTAATAGCCAGGCCAGAGCTTTTCCACTTGTATTGCAGAGATGAGCTATTCCTGTACAAGTTTGCTACCAATTTCCTGTCCCCGTAGAGGTGAGAGGCTTGCTGAGCTCGTTACACTTACCCATTTTCCTCTGTTAGAAGTAATGTGACAATAACTTAATCTTTGTCATTAATTTTCAAGAATATTAATGCGAAACAATTTTTGGAATAAAGTAGCAACTTAACGAAGAAAGGGTGGATGACAGCATCGAAATGTCAAGAGTATGGTGCTAGGAAGTTTTATAGATGCATTCTGTTGCAGGTAAACTTGAGTGAGATAGGAAATCTAGTGTTTCGATAAGGCTTTTTTATAAATAAGGTTTCGACTACTTCACGACAACTTGTTTCGAAATCTACACTTCTCGACATATTTGCAATATTTCAACGCCATCTTTCCCTTAATTTCGGTTTCACCGATCAATATGCAATCTTTCATTGATAAGCTTACACAAGGTTGATAAACAACTTTTATTCGGCTCACGTCTCTACGTCTTCGTCTTCATCAGAGGCGATGATCCGAGTCTCATGGTCACAGTTTTCCTTTTACTTTTCTTCGAATGAATAGAGCTAGAATAATAACTGCGGCACATGACATCGACGAGTGGAGCATTCTTTTTCGTCCACTGCAATCAGTCGCTAACTGCCACGAGGTCGTGTAACACAAGTACCTTTCAGCTCTTAGGTCAACAGTATCTCTGTGATTTCTCTATCAGTTCAAACTCACACGGATTCAAAAATTCTCAGTTCTCTAAATTCGGTAAATCACACTGCGACTGGATCATAGCTGTATTTACTTTCAGTTTACGATATGACTCGTGATTTCCAACGTTTTTTAAAATTCTCACCTATATATATATAGGTTCATCAGCCCTTCCGTCTCCTGCGGTGGGTAAATTCGTACCAGGCTTGTATGGGAGGATAGCAGCAATAGCTCGATACATTCCCCGGCTACTGCGAGTCATTGTAAAGGTAAGGTATGCATTCCTCTAATGATGCTAAATGAACTCGAATGCATGGGTCGTCTCTCAGGTGTCGATCAACGCCAAAAGCTTTATCCTCTATTTTATATGTATATATATTTATTCATGCATATACACATATTGTGCCATATGCGTTAGAAATCTGGCCGCTGCGTAAGCAGGATGGAAGATCACTGTGTTATCGAACGCGCAGTTGAATGGACGATGCTAGAAGAATCCCGTTTCACACAAGTAAGGCATGGGATCCGAATCTCCTACCTGCGTCAACGAATAGAAATCAAGGATGAAGTTATGTGCGTCAAACAGATTAGATGGGCCGGTCACGTAATGCGTATGAAGGGCAACCGATAGGTAAGAGCCGTTGGTGACTAGATTCCTCGGGTTGTCAAATGCGCAACAGCAAGACCGCCGAACTGATGGTCAGAGTTCTTCACGAAAAACGTAGAAGAAAGATATGATGCTAAACGAGTTCCTAGAGCGAGCAGAACCCACTGGGCTACTCTTGCACGCGACAGGGAAAAATGGAAAATTTACTGGGCCCCGTCCGAGTCACTCGATGATCACCAGGACTACAGGTGATACAAGTGATAAATATATTGTGTTATATCCAGTTGGTACACCGTTTCGCCATAGCTGTAGATGTTTTCGGTGTTGAACAGCCACTTGTATCTGGAAAATTAATGTCTCCAGTAGAGTCCCCAATGTAAAAGACTTTGCCGCCAGTTGGCGAACCTTCTTCCAATCGAAAAGTAACACTGCTAGCTGAGATGGCGAACCGTCATCAGGTGGATTTGCCAGTGCGGATTGGTTATGAATCAAGGGAAAATCTTTCTAAGTCTCTAGGATAGCAGTTAAATTAGGAAATGTAGTGCACATGCACCAATTTTCAAGAAAGCGGGCATTTCAAGTATTTAATTTAGTAGGAATTTGTTCCTTGCTTGGTTGTATTTTATACGACCCATCTCCACATGCGGATTTCAGCACTTCTTTCATTCGACTCGTCTCCACGCACCCATCATCCATAACAGTTTTCGTGTTTGCGTGTGGGTACGACTACTGTTTGAGAATCTCGGTCTCATAAATGTCATTGAATGTTAGTCGAATTCATTCTTTCTGAAATCCTGAAATAGTTGTGCTGAAATTTTCCTTCCATATCGTTGCTTCCATATGATTATTAGAGGCAGTCACCTGCTTTTGTGGATTGCAGGGAGTGGGGTGTTTCCAAACAACTCTTGCACCGGCTTCCTGCCCACAGAGGGATGAGGGGTTTGGTGGGCCCGGTACGAGGCTGCGCCAAAATGCTGTTCTCTGTCCACTAATTTTCGTATATCGTTTCTTGAAGTAGCAGGACGCCCTCAGTTCGTTTTCCTGTTTTATAGTTGTGAACTTTCTGGTGTCTAGATACGGAACTTGGCTCGAACCGCGACGTAGCAGCAGGGAAAGAGGTTTATTTCAAGGTTATGTTAATAATCAGATGCTGTCACATTGAGAAAAAGTGCCATTACAAATCAAACAATAAATTACGCAGTAGGACCAGCAAACTCGTATCACCTGGAAATACGAAAGAACTCTCGAAACGATTATAGTGCAGCAGTGATATGAGCTCATTGATAATCACAGACAACGATAATTGCGCATATATCACAGGTAATTCATGCATATGAATGGTGAAGAATTAAAAAGGATAGGATGGGCGCCTGCGCCTCTGAGTGTCAAAGCCAATGGACTCACTCTGGGCGAAAGACGACCGAGAAAGACGAAAACGAAAGAGGGAATTGGATAAAAGCGTCATTATCGCACCCGAGCGGCGTTTATGACAGAGTGATATAGCACATTGTTAAAAGAGCACTTCAACGAAGCAACAGGGAAATGGTCAAGATTAAATGTAAAGGAAACAGTGAATATAAGTGAAATAAAGAATACATCACGGAAAAAACCCTGAACAACTACAAAGCGGTCAGCGTGGAACGCATAGAGATCTCTAGAAGTGCAGCGAACACGCCAACCGAACGAGAAACGGATGAAGCTGACAAGAAAATGCACGAGGAAGCAAATAATTGTAAAAACAAAGTGAATAGGAAACACGATTCGGGACAAGAAGCAGCGAGTATTCAGACAGTTTAATTGAAGGTGCGAAGTCCAGAACGAGCGCAGTACATCATGACATTCCAATTGGACAGACAGACGAGGTCTGATTTCTCAACGGTGCCAACACGATCGCCCGATGGTGCAACGTTGCACATACGAAGGCATCTGGAGACAATCGATTATCGACCATATTTGTTCTAATTAGATTTTCAGAACGAGAAATAATGAAGGCTTACCGATCGCCAACGCCGAGTTCGGAACTTGCCATTCCGAGGAACTCGCAACATTTACGATTGTCGCGATTTTGATTTGCACAGTAAAGTATAGGAGCCAGATACTGTAAACATAGACGCAGTGTTGTGGCTACCGTAATCGAGAATACAATCACACAAAAAAGAAGTCCAACCTTAAGGTCACATCCGCCTTGCTGTACAGCTGCAATGAGCGTCTCGGCAGCAACGTGTTCCCTATGTTCGTACGTACACAGCTGGTGGCAAGTTTCAGGAACCTGAACGTTAAGCACACTTTAATGAAAAGTCTTCACATTCAGATTTGTTAACATATTAAATGCAGTTGCTATCAGAATTAAAAGAAATCATGTCATTTTTATTCATTTTTTAAGGCTTGTTCAAAACTTGTTCCAAACGTGTTTCTATTTTTGCAACCAGAAATCTTTACTTAGAAACACCTTATATATACATATAAGTATATATATATATATATATATCTTATATAACATCTTATGTAATATCGCATAGGGAGAGGATAGTGCATTATAGCAATGTTGTTGATCAGGAAGCAAAGGCGCTAGTTCAATCTCCGCCCCAACGCTCTCCACTAATCCATGTGAGAATGCCTCAGCCTGGCAGCCTTCAGGATTGCAAGGATTTGACTCGACAAGCATTCTACGACATTCACAGAAAAGACGAAATCCCTAAGCACAGCTGAAACAACGGGTGAAATGTTCGAAAACCATTGTGAATATTGGATGCGAGGAAACTAATCGATTGCAAGAAGTGCTAGGATTCGCGCAATAAATTTGATGATGGGTCATGCGAAGCAAATATCTCATATATATCTTCCATATATGTGGGGTAGACCGCAAGCCGATACTAATGGCAGGCTACATTGTGTGGTTGGCGAATAAAGGAATTATGTGTGGATCAGGAGTGGCTCTGACATGCAAACATATTTAGTTGAGCTGTTCGCTGTTTCTGCTAAATCCATTAGGCTTACATCGTCAGCATAAATATAATCACATCTATGCAAACGTGCAACGATAGATTCACAAGGGTGTAGAGTGCGTCCTGTACTTCATCAGTGCAGCAGAATACGGTAGACAATTGACTGTGATGACGCTTCAGCCTCACCTCTAACAACTAGCTCTCATATTTACTCCAGGAAAGCATGGCAAGCTAAACCATAAGTTCTGTTAACATTCGAGAGTTCTGGACGTCAGTAGAGTTCTCAGAGTTTTGAGAGTTCTGAGTTTTGGATGTCTGGATGGCTGTTTTCATAAAAAGGATAAAGGATAAAGCTCTTGGCGTTGATCAATCCCTTTAGGGGGGCGCCATGCATTGGACTTCATTAGGTATCGTTGGAGATGAATGAATTCATATCTGGCCTGTACAATAACTCGCAGTGGCCTACTGATGTATCGAGCCAGTGCTGGTATCCTCCCAGACAAGTCTGGTACCAATTTGCTGACCCCGGAGGGATGGAAGGCTTTGTGGGCCAGGGCGCGGAGATCGACTCCACGTGTGTTGCTGTTGCGCCTCCAACCACTGCGCCACACGCGCTCTTACCTTGTTTTTATAAAATGACGGAAATAAATAGAAGGCAAATGAAGAAAATGATTTGCCTCGTGATACATATCTTCCTTAATTTACTTTACTTCCTCATTGTGATAAGATGTATCTTTCGGCATTGAGCTGCGATGGGATAGGAGTTTGGAGGGAAAGAAAACGTTTGGAAGTTCATCTGAAGTCCAACTAAGATCAAACTCATGGAATCTCCGTCATCGTGGGAGAAATCAAGTTTAAGCTAGCAAACTTTGATTCTATCGATAAAAGCTGGCGACTATTTTCGGTGAGAATCTGAAAACACCTCTCATTTTTGAGTACCTAAACAAAAGAATCTTGTGGACCCGTGGACGTAATACCAGTCAAGAGGACATTATGTTCCGGTTAGCGTGATTCTTCATGAAGGCGACTGGTTAAAATAGCTATGAAGTCTTATAACTGGGGTGTGTTCCTGATTGTCCAACTAGGAAATACACTACACCCCACTATCGCGGTCTTCCAAAGCCGAGAAGTGGTTTGAAATTTCCATCACAAAGCGCAGCAAAGGGTGAGCATCTGCCTGGAACCGTAGCTTTCCTGGTACCAACCTAGCCGCAAGGAAACAAGTCTCCTTTCGATGTAAATAGGTCAGCGACTGAATGTGATAGCGAGTTGGTAAAACTAACAAGACTACCTCTAAAGTCTAAGGAAAGAGGATCTTTTCCAACTATCAATTCATCACTTGGGTGAAGACAGACTTCTCAAGAATTCAAGTGTTAAATTATTGAGAATGGACACCAAACGCAGATGCGCTTGACTTTTGTTGATGAAATTTGTGTTGAAAAAAGCATTTTTCGACTCTGGGTCTTTTTTGAGTGCATCTCAGTTTCCATGAAATATCGTAGATCAATTGATACCTCGCGCGTACGATTTCCAAGGTTACTCTACGTAGATGTACTAGATAGTACAACGTGATGAAAAACGGAGCGGAATGAAGTCCAACGCGATCAATAATTGGACTACTTGGAATAAGGAAGTTTTGATTTGTAATCGCAATCGAGGTAACCACAGAATTTAGCTTTTTAGACAGAACAAAAATAACCGACATGTTGTTGGCAGCATGATCTGAAAACGTCGTCGACAACCTTGCGCGCAAGACAAGGTGAATAAGGCGGACGAGATTTCTCGACTCCACACTCGACAGTAAGATCGGCATCCGTGACCTCGTTTATCGGATACTCCTGATTCAGGAGTTTCCGATCACTACCTGTAAAAAAAATTGCATTATAATTCTATAAACATGACTATTTTAGGAGTTCTCTACGAGAAGTCTAGGAAATATTTGACTAAGGAGCACACTCATGGACACTGAGGGAACGTAACATATCAGTTTTCTTAACACTTTAGCGACGACGCCTAGTTTCGCTTTGATGCCGGTGATAATTTCTCGATAACTAGAAGACTTAGTGGGTTGCGGATACCAAGGGATTGTAAAAGGACTTTATCCTTCTATAAATATGAATGATATTTATGGCGTTCCTTATGGTCTTATGGTGTGCTATGATCGCTCATAAAAACACATGCGTCTTCATACCAGTACTTTTTATGCCCGCACACTTTTTACGGTAACTGTTATTTACTGCAACAATTAGAAATTAAATAATAATCGATTAGCACTCCAGTTTTTGGTCAGTGAACTCGTTAGAAAGACGGGTTTTTGAATATTTATAAGTGCTGAATAAGGTTCATCCCGACCAACGCCCAATACAACACACGTGTTCTATAAGCCATCGATTGGTAGTAAGAAGTATAGGAAAACAACTCTGTAGGTTACAACGGACCAACGGAAAGAAAATGAAACCTATAGAGGTTATATCATCCGCTACGAGAACTTCTAAATGACTCACACAAAGGTCACTCTTTGCCAAAGTGTTAAACAACACCTGAATAACTCAAACGTTTGTATTCGTGAAAGGCAAGCCTGCTCTTTGAGCTGGTTAACTGCGATGGCTTAGGAGCTTTAGAATAGCGGAGTTTGTCTATTCATGAATTATTCAAGGATTTACAAACTTCAGCACAGAGTCGTCAAACTATGGGGTAAACTTTTAATCCGCATTAATAGGGATATTTTGCCTGAGGCTTTCATCCATCTGTTTTTCTATCGTGAGTGTCACATAGTCTGTGATTGTTCTTCATTTGCATATGTGGTTTTCAGCTTTGCCGAATCATCAGGAATTGTAAAATTTTTCAACCTAAAGGATAAGGCATTGGGCATACAATCTCTAAGGGATGTCACATGCACGGGGCTCCATTCGTAGAGATGATTTAACGCATATTCGCCTTATACGGCTTGTAAACACTTATCGATACATGAAGCTAATTCCCAAAATCGACTTCCTATTAACTTTGGCATTGATCAACAATTCATTGTTTTCTCAATGAATAGACACAAGATTGTCATTACAACATTTATTCACAGTGACTAAGATCTCAGCTTTCTCGCTTAGAGCCTGGAAAGATCATGTTGGTTGCAATTCGACCAGCGAAACACTTCCATAACGATAACAGGAAAAAATCAACACCTAATTTTCACTCGTACGAGAAACAACTTCTTTTTAAAGGCACACCGTTTTGTTCTTTAGATTCCTTATAGGTCGTCTTCCAGATATTCTTACTGTTGATGGAGACCGCCCTCACAGAGTTCATATTGATCGGTAGCGTGCCTTTCTCACGTTAAATACCAGTCTAAGGTATTGTTTCAGATCACGTGTGATAACAAGGCATCCCTGCAGCTCATGTTTGGAGTTTCAGAATTTATCCAAAATGCCTCAAGGATTAAGGGCAGTGGAATCTTAGATTCATGTGCAAGGATGGTGACTTCTACTTCAAAATTTTTTCCGTCCCTTTGTGTATTATGCGCGCCTATTGGAGTACTTTGCTTAACTTTAAGTTTACCGACTAGATGTTCTTTTATAATGAGAGAGTGATTTACCTGTTTCGCCAATGTATTCGTCCCCTCACGCTTTACGAGAAATCAGGTGCACCGTTCACGAACTCATGCAATCACTTTCGCCGCTGTTAGGGCAAATTAAGCAACTAGCTGAGGTCTTCGAATGTTCGGTGGTATTTCATTCACTGGTACTAGTTTCTCTAGATCAGCTGTTCTTATGCACCGTTTTATAACAGCGCTTATTTCGTTGGAAATGAAAGAGGGAATAAACGGGACCTTACTCTCGCTTCACTTATCGTTTAGGGGTGTGGTTTTTCCTCTAAGCGTATCCCTAGGAGCTGCTTCGTGGCCACTGGCAATGGTTATTTTTCGTGGTAGTTGCAGGAATCCTCCCCTCTGCTCTTTTCCCATACACACACTGGTGGCTATTCGAAACATGTTTCCCACTAGCGCCCTTTTTGTGTATTAAAGGTGGTAAAGGAGACAATGAACCAATATTCTTTTGTTATTTGGCTTTCGCTGCCACTTCTTTACATAAGGGTTTTTGATAGGTCAATAGGAACGTTCGAAAATGGGAGTCAGCTGCTTTCCGTTTCCTTCGGCGTACATAAGTAGTAAATAGTCTGACATTTTAGGGAGAGAAAGGCACACAAAAAAGATGGATGCGTGAAAGGTGTTTTGCTTCTATTGCAATTTAAATTTCGGTTTCGCTGCTTTACTTTTGGAGTTGTGGACGTGTTTGGGTGATCAGATTACAATCAAATTGAGCTTTCCTGCTTCCGAAAAGGCGAAATCCTCCGAAACGTCAGATGTTGCTCATAAATAGTGCAATAACAACCACGTCTTTGTTTATAAAGGAAGCAACGAATAACTATTTTAGTGCTCCTTTAACCCCAGAGAAGTCCGCTAATGATTAGCGCAGTTTGGAAAGATTGATGGCTTGGTTTTTACACGCTACGCGAGATCAAACCAACGACTTTGTATTTCTTGCAGGGCACACTTTAACCACAGCGCTACATACACCCTTCCATATGATACGAAAAAAGAATCAAAAATTTCTTAAATACTCACCAGTTGGTGCTCGGCGCCTATTTGAATTGTCCATCCATTCCTCATCAGCTCGTGGTGGTGGTGGAGTAGTTTTCGGAACGATAACAGTTGATGCGCGCGAACCTCTCGTTAGCTGCGCATCAACCTGGATTTTTCCATTAAGGAATCTTTCAGAAAGAAGAAATGTTTAGAATAACGTCTTTTTGGCTCTTCTCATCTTTCGGTCTATGGATACGGTCTTCCAATAGCTAGGAAACGAAATATTTACCTTTAATAAAGCGGTCTTCTCTGCGTTATTGAAAATCCTGCTGCATAGTCTGACATAATACTTTTCACACTTAGCACAACAACTGTCAGCCAGTTTGAAATCTCATCTATTCGCTTAAATTTTATCCCCTCAGGATTTTGGTTAGATGATTGGAGCAATTTTCGTAAAATATCTGCCTTTTTCACCTTATTATCTGAAAAAAGCTTCTTATCCTGAATCGCGTCGAATTTTTCGAGTTTATGCGGGCACTTCTCCGTCACATAGTCAATACAACCAGTTAAACATTTATCTGAAATTTTTTATACATATATATACATATAGTTGTATAGTTATCGACTAGTCGGTATAGGCTCTAGGTTGCATAGAGGTTGGTGTTAATAATCTCATTGATAATCTCATAATCTTCATCTCATTGATAGCCTAGAAATGTATTCCTTGGTGTCAAAATGCGGTAGACAACGGTTCGCTCAGCCGTCGTAGTCGCCAAAAAGCTGAGAATTAATCTGACTTTTCCATGCGAAAGCTCAGCTAAGAGTGAATCAATAACCGAAGACGTTATCTGTCTAATTAACAACACCTGGTGAGCATCTGTGGTGAGGACTTCATATTTCATAATGCTCTATCACGACCTTCTTGGACATCCAGGTATATGGCTCTTACTATCACTTTGTCTGCAAGCTGTAGACGTTATAAGACTGATAACGCTGGACATTAGAAGACTCGGATATTGTGATAGCAATCCTAGGAGTTAATAAGTCAATCCTTATTTACAACCATTCCCAAGCACCATCAGAATCACGTACGTAGTGTCATGACCAATCACTCACCATCCCCACTACCAGTGAGTCCTAAGTGAAGGAAGAGTTTCAGATAGACAACGTAGGCGATCTGTCAAATCATAAGATCCCGAAGTATGTGTTTCTATCCTTATGTGGAGTTGATTGCCCTGATTAGGATATCACTGATGTCGTAAATCATATTGGATACATAAGCAACTAGCTAATAACTATGACTCACCTAACACACGTTCGGTACAACATAACACTTTTGGGATATCATGGCACGCCGGCAAGTTAACCTCGCCTCGAACAAAAGAACAAAGAGTAATTACAAGGATGAACAAGTGGAAAAACCTGAAAGTAGACAGAATGAGGTGTTTTTCTAATACACTGCACAAGTTCTAACTACATGTTTCCAGAATCCTCAATGAGGATCATGAAAAAACACTCCTCCATGTTATATCGTGTCATCACTTCGCTGAAGTATGTTATGTAAACGAGTATTTTACATATTGACTCCACTACCCGAACAAACCAATTCATCCTTTCCTTCGGTGTAAGCGAATTTGTCACTGGCTTGCTAGCGAGGATAAGACACCACTATTCATTGTTTGGACTAAATACGTACTTAATCAGCTCTACGAAGCTCAATGGAGTCGGGTGAAAAAGCAAAATATATTAATGCATAATCTTCTACGTTTTTTTAATAAGCTGGTTCAACAACGTCAGCAAAGTTGTAAAGTGAAATTGTCCTAATGAGTAGCGATAAATTTATATGTCGATCACAGGGTACGCTCAGCTTATTGCTAGCGAGCATTTCAAATATGGCGCGGCTCGAACGAAATACCTTCGCGGAGATGAGTTGACTGCATTGAGTTTTTAATCCCGCTCAAAGTGACGGCACTGTTTTTGCTGGCTATGGTGTAGAGGTCAGTAGGGTAAAACTACGCGCTGAATAACCTTGAATGTGGCGGAATGCGCCAGAAAAACACAAAGTTAACAAGAAACGACCACGAGGTCAACCGACCAATCAGTAACGATAGATGGGAGATCAGTTGGTTCTCGTTTTACCCATTCAACGCTTACCTGGAGTTCATTTTCGCGAGAATAGTCCACCACCGGAACTTGACGATGATGTGCAACCGTAGGAGCCTTGGTTATTGAAGAACGAATCGAATGGGCGGTCCTAAAATGTGGTGTTCCTTATAAAGGGAAGCTTTGCTACAATTAGGTCATCCACTATTCTCCGGATTGTCCGCGGTTGAAAGACAATGGACGATTGCAAATGAAACTATTATATTATGAGAGAAAGTGGTTGGTGTCTAGAAATCGCCGAGGTTCAAACTTTATCTCTCATTTGGAACTGGAAGCTTTCACACAAGCTCTATCGCTCTGCACTTTTTCAAATAAAGCGTTTAACTAAATGTTGTTCGGCTTGACTGCACTGTTAAAAATTTGTTGGCATGCTCATCGTTGCTTGAATATGTAAGCAGCGATTGCTCCAGCTAGAGTGTTACAGTGATTAGGCTGAGATCTCGAGCATAAAATAAGTCCTTTGAAGACCAACATTAAAAACTTGAAGTGTCACATCGGCTTCCTAATTTCGGTAACAGTGCGAACTTCATTTAAAATCCACTTTTTAACGACTCTTAGCGGTTTTGAACAACTTGAAAAAGAAGCATTTTTGAACCCTTGTAAAACTTTGTGTTATACAAGATGGTGAATCTACGTTCTACACTCACATTTTGTCTATTGTTACCGAGAAGTCCTCCTCCGTTGCTGTTTTTATCCAAGAACGAGTCGCCGCCAACACCGCCAACACCGCCAACACCGTGTGTTGACCTAAAATTTCCTTCTGATTCGCATAAAGTCCATAAAAAGAAAATAGTGACTTTATTAGTTTGTAAATTTCAACGTAACAGTGCGTTTATACACTGTTTTGATATTTTTCTAGCATTTCTGTTTGAATCTTACTGAATTCGATCGACTTGAGAAGTCAAAGCATTGGTGGCACCTCTTGTTCAGTGCAACAGCACAGAAGGCAAAAATGAAAAAAAATTAACACAGTCGACGAAAATTATTTTGATAGAAATAATTGAAAGATTCCGCACCAAAGAAAGTGTGGTGATATTGTTTATTACTTTCAGCACTTGTTTAAATTTTCAGTGCGAATGGTAAGTCTTCTTCAAAAAGGACATGATCATCGTAGAACGTGTACCTGCAACAATATCGGCTTCCATTAAAGAATACGTCTAGCGTTCTACGGCTTCTTTTAATTGCTAGCTTCATAGAGGATCTATGTGGGCATTTCCTTTGTATTTAAAATCTTAAAATGCCCCTTACTACTAAATAGGAATTGCCTTGTTTTACGATAGGAGGCTATAATATCCGTGATCGAGCACGTTCTCGTCTTCGACAGCCAACTGGTCACTTGTTAGCCGCGGCGAACCAGTCTTCCGTAAGCTTCATATAAGCATTACGCAATGATCCGCACAAAAGATAGCGAGCTTGGTTAGACGTCGGCGTGCATAAAACATCGACGACAAACTGAACAGAAGACAGGTGTTCTGCAGCTCGAAAAGAAGGCAACATCAAACAGAGCTGTAAAGCCATAACAACAACACATAAAATGGTGTGAACTGTTTATAACAACTACAGAAGAACGATGTAAAGCACTAAAATAATACGACAGAATTCATACTGTTTTTGTATATCTATAAAGCCTCTAGCACCACAATATTTGGCAAGACATGGCTGAAAGAGTTAATTGAAGCAGAAATAGTAGCTCTATTCAAGATGTACGCAAGTTTTAACAGAATCTTTGTCTCGTTAACCAACATTTTATCTATGGAACAAAGGAGACGGAGAACAAGTCTACGTGAAAAGAACTCTAAAAACTTCAGTACATACCAGTTACCAGATCCAGTACCAACGGCAAACGTTGAAGCACCAGTTTGAGGTTGAAGATCTGATAGCGCAAGAGCAGCACGAGGTGATGGACTATCAGGTAGCATAATTGTAGTCTTCTGAAAGAGTTATTATAGCGAAAAAAACGCGAAACTACAGACGCAGAACTAAGAGCGAAGTACTTGTGAAGGGAATAAGATTCGATAAGCAACGAAAGAATCAGGATTGATGATCTGGCCATTGCTTTAGGATGCCATGGCACAAGTAGAATATGAATTCTGATCGCACGGCTTATGTAAGCCGGATTGTCGCTGCGCGGCTAGCCGTCTAGCTACGGTCGGTGCTGACGGTGAAGTCGAGACTGGTAGACAGTAGCACCGCCACCACCATCACCACCAACGCCACGTCCATTTATCTCCGCCCATTTGTGCCCCATTCGGCTCCACCCATTTCTATCTGGACATTGAAGTGGCATAAGCTCAAATTCATTCTCAGCACGGTTTTGGAAATGTTCTAAAACCATGCTCAATGTTTTCCGTAATGAGCTATTAGTTGGTGACGCACCAGGATGTCCGGATTTGTGACTGTTCACAGACGGGAGCTGGTTCTTATTGGTAGATAAAAAGCAGCCTATCCGGGAGAAAAACTCGAAAAACAACGGGAAATCTACGAATAGTATTTAGTTTTTCTTAATTAGGATAAGGTATTCGACAGCGATTTAGTTTTCCGTGAAGTGCAGAGATTTTAATCATTTAAGAATACTTATTTACAATGAAAGTTCCCTTACCAATCTCAAATGTCGGATTCCCATGTCTGTCATATTGTTAGAGAGCACGCTTAATCATTGTAAATCTTTGTAAAGAAATAATGGTTTGGTGTTCATGCCAAATTCCATAGAATAGCACATCGACGAATGAGCTGGTACTGAATTGGAAATGCGGTTTCATTTGATGATAAAGAAATATCGTATGAAGCTTTGTTTCAGAGAAATCGCTGAAACACTGTATTCTTAAGATTTCAGACTTATGAAAAATTGCAGAGGTGATTTCCAAAGTCCCGGGGCATTATTAAATCTCGAAGACAATCATAATATTTTGTTACTTTGCAATATTATTAACAACTGAGAGCATAAAAGCTTCCGTCACATCGGTTCGAAACTGCAAAACACCAAGATATTTCGGTTTCTTGCTGATAACGGTGCAATAAGCATCTACAACTTTATGTTTGAGCTAGATCAAAGCAATCTCAAAAAGAGTTCGAAATTAATCGAATCATTAGATTAATCGGAGAGGCACCACTTGATATTGGATTAGTTGAGATTTCTGAAAAAACTTTGCCGTATCGATCAGAGGACAAGGTGTGTATATGCCTCTGACTTTATGTATGTAGGTGTGTATGTATGTGTGTGTATGTATGCATGTGTATATGTACGTGTGCATGGACGTACATATGTGGTGTATGTGTGTTCATGTGTGTATATGTGTATGTCATTGTGTACATGCATATGTAATGTATATGTGTGTTTGTATGTGCAGGAATCGACTGGTTCAGTTGTAGCGATGGTGAATCGTGGAACAGGTTAGACTGACCAGTTAATACGAGATTGATAATCAACGGTATCCAAAGAGTTTAATACGGATCTTATTCTTCACTAACAAGTTAGTTCACTAGAATCCCGAAAACGTGAATTAACTTATATGGTCAAAGATATAGAGAAAGTCAAAGTCGAATAACTAGCGGGCATCATCAGACCGAACTGCTGTGGAACACTGTGGACATAGATATTTCAGGAGTCGGCGGCTGGCAATGTTATATCCCATATCTATATGGTATATCCAAGGTCATTCGTTCCATCGTGTCAGGATAAACAGCGCCTAGTTTGGAGACTGTGCAATTTCTGATGTCAACAACGATAGACTTTCATCTCATTAACTTCAGATATCCATTCCAGACTATCAACTCAGGTAGCAGACGAATAGTCTTAAGAGAGTAGGATGAGAACAAAACATCGAAAGTGTAGTAAAAAGAAAGCCCGAATGCTTTACTTATATTTCCCACACGGAAAATAGAAGTGAATGTTAAGTCGGATAGAGACCACCGATGAGTCACACGCAAAGATACAAAGACAACGGCGGACTATTTTAATACAAAATGAGCGCGTGTGTAACGTTTTTCCAAGTTTTTTACATTCAGTACCTTGAAGACCGGAGCTTATATGATATTTCTAATGCGAGTAAATAAACAATTCATAGATCACTTGGAAATACTCGATGAAAGAGTAAACCGTCTTCTGTTGGAGAACTATTAATTGTTGATCAACTGAAAGATTCGGCATGAATCTACGCAGTGTTTCTTATGAGTAACATTTATTCCAAAATCAGTTTTTAAAAAGTAACGCTATGAAATGAACCTGTTCTGATTGTTCTATCACAATGAGTACGGAAGTAGCTGTAAGTCAGTTTTATTAGATCAGCCGCTTATACATGCAATTCCGTGACTAGAAACGAACCGGATTATTTGCTGATCAATATTCTGAAAAGGAACGGAGAAATATCATAATAGTAATAATAATAAATTAAAACTTTTATAAAGGAAAAAGTTCTCATGCCAACCTCATGTCAGTTCAGTCATATAGAAAATCATTAACAATAAATAGTTTTAAAAGGATTGTGGTGGATTTCTAGCATATTTACTTGCATGGATATTTATAACCCTATTGACGAATTGACGACTCGTCTTCACGAGAAATGTAGATCTTCCCACTTTTTCCATCATTTCGTTTTCTACCACATGTAATCCACTAAGATTCGTTCGGGTAGGGACACAGCTTCTTCATGCTAGCCACGAGCACGTCATCTCCAAGGTCTTCTCGCCATTCCGTTTCGAAGCTAAGTCGTTTTTTTTCTTCTTTTCCGAATTCACTTGTGCATTCTTCTGGCTAATCTAACTTTATTAATTGTGTTTTTAGACGTATTCCGCCGAGTCTTACAGGCGCTACTTTTCTCGAGAAGCAGATCCGAAGAATGGTATGCTATGGTCGATTTAATCTGCACGAAAATCTTCAGGAAGAATCGCAAATGATACACTGTGTATATCTCTATCGGTGCTTTCACATAACTGAAATTCCAGCCTATTTTTCCGCTAAGTGGTACAGAATTGGAAGAATTCTTGTACCAAATAACTGATCTGGTAGACCGAGTGAAGTAGGTTGGTCAATGGACTGTGCTAGATAGTCTCCTTTCATCAAAACTTCAGAGACTTTCTACACATTTCTACTTTTTAGTCATGGATTCTGTCGCTAACAGCTTTTCCTTCCTTCCTGGTAGTACCTATTTGGCCGTAACATTTCAACATTGTCTCTATTGTGCGCCATATGTCACCGACTTCTTTCGGCTTCTATTACCTAAACATTCGTTAAAAAATGAACGCTCTGCCTACGAGGCATCTCAAATCATCCTAATTATGTACTGTCGATATCAGTGACTGATCACTATTGGTTTGTTAAAGCGGCTCGGTTATCGGGGTGAAGTTGGTTACTCTTCGTGTTGATGAAGTGGCTAAATCCTCACCTATTGATGACGTTCTTTTCAATGCTAACTTTTTACCAACGTCTTATATTAAGCTATGAACATTAAGGAATGAGTTAAAAATGAAAAAAAAACGAAATTATGAAGATTTAAAGAAAGAGAAGAAGAGGAAGAAAAGACTATCGCTAGAAAGCTGAATTCCTTCAGCATTTGCTCGGGAAGTTAACAGCAGGAAATGACGAGTAGTTCGCTGAAGATTCCTGGTATGTCACGGCGCATCGAGATCCTCTATCTGCTCAGCTACATGCTAAGATTCTTGGCTTTTACTTGCTAAGATAGCTTTTTCCCTAAGAAATTGTGTATACTATAGCATTATTGGATCCTATAGTGGAAATAGTGAGCAATTGTGAAATATTTTTTTTACAAGTAATGTTGAAGATGAATCGGTTTCGTGATGGCAACAACAGCAACCTGCAGGAGTCACGAATGAAAATCAAAGATTTAGTAGGAAAATCGTCAGCAAACGGAAGCATTAAAGAAAAAAAATGAAATCGCGTGGCGGCTGCGCAACAAGAAACCTGGAAACTTGATAGGGAATGAGTAAGAGAACTCTTCATTCGAATGATTCAAGTCGAAATCGGAACGGGCTAACGATTGATGGCTTCGCTCGTACAATAGAAATATGAAGCATTTCATGCGGAAGATATAATAACGAACGTTGTAAATAGTAGACTGAAAGCAACTGCAAACATTAGCGATCGTTTCGAAATTTGATTATGATGAGGGCTTCGCCTACGCTCTTTAGCGATGACGGAACGTTCACCAGATGAGTATAGAAGCTTCGAAGGTGATGTAACCGTGTAAATTTCCTAGGTGAGAATTAGTTGGTTCTTTATAACAAAGTTATACGATGCATAAGAAGCATAGTTCTTGGCTTACTCTAACCTAAAAGTTCGTTTGAGTAAGGATGCAGCGGTGAAATCGTGTTGTCATCACAGAAACAAAAACGGTGACAAGAGAGAATCTATGCATACACTCTACCTATCTATTTCCGTACTAATTCTTTCTCCTGGTCATCACTCTCAGTGGTACGTCCTTTCTTGGCTCTCGCATTTTTCTTAAATGGAATAAAATCTCTGAAAAATACAGTCAAGACTGTTAGTGTCGAGGTGCCCGGCAGTCATGTGTCTACCGCAGAATAGAAATCATTGTTTAGTACGTGACAGCGGATTTACTTCGCCAAGGCCGCTGTGGCACGGATATGGCGAGAGTTTTCTAGCACGAGATGCGAAACGCTTTTTCTAATTTCACCTTTAGATAGCCACCCACGACTAGATGCTATGAGACAAGTTCACTAAAGTAGATTCAAGAAGCAGGACGTCTTCCTCATAACAAAGAACTATATCAGATTTTATCAAAATACAAACTGCTAACACGAAGATTGATGCATTTAAAATCGGCGGGTTTATAAAACGATAGCAAAAGAATCAGTCTACAGGTGTTGACTATCATTTCCTATGAAAAACTGATCGCTCTTTTAGCGCAGGGTTTAGAGGCGCCCTGCAGTACACAAGAGAGCGATCCCGCGCCCCAAACTCACCATGCCTTCCATCCCTCGAAGGTGGGCTATTTGGCGCCAGATCTGTCTGGGAGGATAGCAGCACCGACTCGATACATCAGTAGGCCACCACAAGTCATTGTAAAGGTCAGATATGCATTCAAACACCTCTAGCGATGCTTGATAAAGTCGAGGGTTTATCGACGCTAAGAGCATTATTCTCTTTATCCTTTACGGAAAACTAATCGAAAGTGTTCGAATGTAAAGGTCTCATCTTGAAAGTAATTACGACATTTAAGCATCATGAAGACCAATGAAAACAATGGAAACATGGAGCTAAAGCTTTTTCTGAAACTTTGCTGAAGATTCTACTTACATACTTTAACGGAACAAGCTGTATTTCATCAAGCCCGCTTTGAAATTTTTTTTCATAGAGATCACTTCTTGCCTTCGGCAATGATATCATCCCGATAGATTAAGGCTATTTTCTACTCGGTGTCAAGCAGTTTCCCTCTTTATCCATTCATCGCTCTTGCGACGTTGTTTAAAGCGGCTAACAAAGGCCAGTTTTGTGGAGTGTAATAAGCGCCTTTTCGAGATCAAGCCCGATTGCGTCGATCTTTATCTGGAACGCTGATGGGAATGGGCAGCCAACCAGCGAAAAGCCAGCAGCCATACACTTCGAAAGAGCAAAACTTATTGTGATCATCGTTACAATGGTAGATTCTGGTAGGCCGGAAGGACCTAGATTTGGAGATAATGAGGAAGGTGCTGGTGTGCACTTGGAAGCTGCCGATAATTGGTGGGAATTCTTTATCAGATTTCTTACCTTCACCGTTTCAAGCTCTACACTATTTTGAAAAATGACGTGGACATGATGTAATGGAATGATTCAACAAATATCAAAAAAGGAGTTTATGCCGCTTTATTGTGGTTAACGATTGTTTCTGGATATCGCAATGAGGTGGGAGTGAGGTTCAGGCTGTAGGATTGGCCAAGCTAAGAAGGAGCTCAACATTTTCGTCTGCAGCCCTAGTAAATGCTCTCATAATGGGGCCCGATGCCTGCCAGTGACCTTCCTTTTTGTCTCCAAAAGCAGTGGAGGAAACGGTTTCATTCCAAAAGTGTGATGTTCTTGTGTCCTCTGAAGAAAGCTGTCCCAAAGACTAGCTCTGGTGGTGAACGAAGACAAATGAACTTCGTTATTGCCGGTTCGTATTGTGTTACTCTACGATTAACAGGATTACTAGCAATTCAAGTGAAAATACTGCGCGTACGTAATCTTGATTGATTTTTTTCGTGGTTAAGGTCTAAAAAACAGACTCAAAAGCGTGAACGTGATTGGTCGTGGTGGTGAACGCGTTAGCCCCCGGAAAGGATAATAGCACGTTCGTTCCCTACCAGACACCTGCGGTCCCGAGTTTTGCAAATATCTTAGCATCGTCGTGCTTTCAAAAGTTTCGATGTTTCAAGCCAGCTTTAACAACTTCTCATAAAGTCAAGATGATCATTTTTTTGATCTATGTATCAGTTTAGAAAAGTTCTATGGGAGAATATAATGAGCTCAATAAAAGTATGCTATTGTCTAGCAGTTTCAACCATGAAGTAGGTTTCCATTGTAGAGCTCGCCTAGAGGAAAGCCTATTTATCTAGGCTAGACCATGAGTACTCTTCGCTAGAATGAAGTTTTTTATATGAGTCAAACTCAATCAGACTTGAAACAATGGAGAATCAAAAAAAATTGAAACTCAACCAAAAACCTAAAGGAACAATCAGGAATGAGTTCAATAAGAGGGAGTGCTTTGGAAATTCTAGCAGAAGACGTGGATTATTAGAGAGAGTATTTTGACGAGCTGAGATTTTGCCGTTGGGCCACTACGCTAGGAATGTCGTAAGCCAATAGCATCAGTCACACCTCACTCAAAGGCCAGAAAATTCTAGAGGGTACTATGGAGTGCTCCTTTGGCAATGGTTACGAACAGATGTCTCTACATCGCATCATATAGAATGCAGTGTCCTCCCTTCTTGTGCTAATGTCGAGTGGCAAACAATGCGAATCATTGAGGAGATAAAGATGACAATAGAGACGAAGACACTTCAAATGCACGAAGCAAAAAGCTTCGAGGCGAAGGATGATGAATGAATGAGTGAACAGAGACTCGAATAATATCATCTTGAATAAACTGCCGAATTTACTTACATTTCCACAAACAGAGCATTAGCGGATTCCGATACGATGCTTCTCTGAAATATATTTGGTGAGTATTCCACAAGGTATGACTGTTTGAGATATGAATAAACTCAAAATTTAGCTAAGAGGTAAATCTCTTTCCAAAATGATCCACCTCGCTGTCTCTAGATATAGAATTCATTACATTAGCTCCATGTTTGCACTCTACAGGAAAGACTTCTACAAGCACATCCGTAAGTTCGCTTACATCTACTCAGATTGTATCTTTTCGCTATTCTCCCCTTCCTTTGGCTGATTTCCTAAAATAAAATAATGGAAGAAAGTAGGTGATAGTTTGTGGTCGACGATAACAATTCAGCATCAACCAGCTTTTCAGAACCCAACAATCTGTAAGCATATCCTTTTTCTTCAACACAGGAAAATGAGCTACCCATGTTGGCACAAGCTCTTAAGTTTTAGTGAAAATGAAACCTCGAAAGAAAATTATAGCTGTCCTATTCACACTTTCAGGCAAAGCGAATCCCTCTGACGGTTTTGATGTGTTACAGAAGCGAGTGGAGACGTTAATGGTGCCAGACGATACCTGTTTGTTACTAAGGATTTTACCAATGTTAGAGATGATTTTAAAGTCATGGAGAGAATGTTTTTCATTCGATCTATCGGAAAGGATCTTTGTAGACTGAAAAAATTATCACTCCAAAGTAAACAATTTCAGGGCAATTTCATGAAATGTGTTGTTCATGTTCTCAAATACATTTTGCCGACCAAGTAGATTTCAGGTCAAGGCAGGTTGGAGCGCCCGTCGACAATGTCAAGGGGAATCCAGCCGCTCCAGGTTATGGAGTTCCCATAGGCATTCTAATGTATAATCATCGGAACTATTTGATTCTATTGAGAGGATATGGAAGTTGGAGAAACACTTTTGTCTTCGAACAACGTTTATCGTATCATGAAAATTTCACGAGTCGTTGAAGGTGCACCTATAAAAAATCTATGACCTGTTAATTTTTCGATCACTCTAATAGAGTACTGAGGGATTTTTAACGTTCGCACACACGTGAAGTAATCGACGGTGCTGCCAATACCGTCATCCAAGAGTTATGGTGCCCATTAGCCTTCTACTAAATAAAATAGAATGACCTAGTAATATGCTTTAGTGTTTAAACCAACACCTTCGAAGATGCTTATTTGTTTTTCAGGACAATAAAAAAAAGCTTTTGCGTGCTGATGGCGTAGTAGTGAAAAGCTTTCCACAACAACATGGTCTGTGGTTCCAATCCGTACCCCGGAAAACTAACTCCCCCACCAATGGTTAGCAGGATTTCTCTGTGAGACAAAACACTGACTTGATACAACGGTAGGTCACCGAAGGTATAGACCAAATATGCTATGTTCTTGATGGAATGAGGTGACTTTTGAAGCTGCCACGATCGATGCAGATTTTTCGAAGTATGTTTATTAAGAGTTCCTCCTTCATCGAAACAAGACCGTATAGCAAAAGAACAAGATATTAACAATTCACCACAAGAGCGTGCTTTGTTCTCAAACGATTGCGATCTAGACTTATGTTCATTTGAACTTTCTGGAAATGATAACGAAGACGATTTAGTTGAAAGCTGAAGCAATTCAAGTAGCATACGGATGTTCGACTTCATAAAAGTTATCTATGTTCTAAATTTGTTATCACAGCTAATCAGTTTTGCATATTAATGAGCTACACTAAATTATTATATTAATGACTATTAATGAAACACTAAAAGTATCACCAGTGCTACACTTTTATATAATATTATCATCCATATTTTATTCATTGTCACACGTTCCACAGCTCCTTTAATCAGTAGAACTTCTTTCCTGGAAGGCTCAGATCTTCAATGGTGATCAGCTGCCATGGTAATCTGCCGGTTGTGGCACGTGATATTATGTGTTCATGATTTCAATCCAATAGAGAATCGCCAAGACTCAGTGATATGTATGACGACTCTCTGACACCCTTGTGAAGTGATTTTATGTCCTATGCTTGATTTCTTGACGGCTTAAGGTTTTCCGATGCTACATCTACACCGCTCAGTGCTGATGATGGTGGTGTCAGTCCGGCAATGGATATGGGTTAGTATTGACGGCATTCCAAGGTCAGAGAAGTCCGAAAAAAGAAACGACAACGAACAGGGACAAGGACACTCGCCCTACGGTGGTGTAAGTACAGCAAAATTTCGCAAACGAGAGCGAAAAACGTTGCAACATACAAAAAACCGTTATCTTTATACAAGGCAAATGCTGGAAAAAATGGTTGAGGGCGAAAGAGAGAACGTTCTCGGCCTTCCTCGCTCTCAGATGAACTTTTACACGGCAAGCCACATTGACACGTCTGAGCACGAGGAAATAAGAGTTATATAAATGAATTTGTAAACTTAATCTGTGATTCAACTTTCTTAAGGATGATGGATAGTAGAACCATTGTGTTCTAGGCTAATGAATCTCCATTCTTAGAGACACGTCATTCACCCTACCCAGGCATCTTTGATGGGACTGAATGGATATTTCGCCAATGCAATAATTTTCTGGAGCTGCGGCAACATCAAATCAGTGTTCATATCTTCCCAGACAAATCTAGAACAAATCTGATGCCCCTGAAAAGCGAGAGATTTTTGTTTTACTTGAAGCACAAGATCGAACCAAAGACTTCGTGCGCGTTGCAGGACACTTCAACCACTGCGCTACATCGGTCCAGTGTAAAAAAAAAACAAATTCAAGCTGGAATTCAGTGGCTATTCAAACGATCATCAATGAGAGGCATAAAATTAACGGACAATTCAAGTCTTCTCAATGAACACAGTAATAGGTAATAAACACTAAACATTTGGAACCTAGGGATTCTCAGCTCTAGAGAATGAGAATGGCTGGACCAATCACGACAAGCCGAAGATCTCACTGTACATTTTACACCATAGACTGCCATGTGCCTAATCCATTTTTCACAATTCTGATTTTTTTATAATACACGTATTGTGCTATTATAATAGCGCTATAATATAATAATTTTCATAATACACTCATTGTGCTATTATAATACTCGACTGGAACAATTTCATCTACGGTTCAGTGATTTCAATGCATTCGTGTACGAGATCATTCAGCCTTTCACAGCTTACAGTAAACATGTTTCAATTTGTAGCGAGCTTCACTAATTGGAAAACCATTAGATTCTATAGGTACAACACAGTTCTAAGTTTTCGAAGCTCGCGACCGTCTTTTTTACGTCACGTGTCGTTTTCTGAACAGCGAAGCGATTTAGCAACCGGGATTTCTTCTAATAGAAAGCGTTGATGTCTCAACGAATACGCCATCAATGTAAGCCGTTACGGCCTTTGCGCTGGGAACATCATATATTCGATTGAATTTGTGCTTTCCAGTTTCTTTTGAGAATTAAAAGGGTGTTGCGTATATCCCTAGAGCAATGGTGAAATTTCTTCCATGAGATTCTCTTTCACGAAAATTCTGAAGTAACCCAACCATCGAAACCCCTACTAGAAGTCTCTTCTCGAATGGCGCCGGATAAGAAACTAAATGCTCTTTAAAACCAGAGATTTACGTAGGCTAATTCTTAAGTCAATTTGTGAATTGAACTATTTCTGCACTATTGCATTACCATGTACCTTCTGTGCATATGTAGAGATATTCATCCTTGAAATTGTTGGTATAAATGTGTGTGTACAGATCATATCATGTAGGTCTTTTATGCCGAAAACCGACAACTGGAGCAAGAAAATGCAAAAAATGGGAGTTAGTCCAAGATCGCCTGCAACGTACAAACCTCATATCATCTCCGAGAGGTCTGAACAGGCTAATCGTTGGTGGCACTTTTAGACAATGTTAGTAAAGACACAAGGCTTCCTAGTTCGTTGACTCTGGTGAACTTCAAGCGATCGAAATCTACAGGATGGTCGAGGAACGAAAAGCGCTACTGCTTTTATTAGCGCTTTACTCAAAGCACAATAGTTTACTGCTTTATTTGTGTCTGTTCAACTCATTTGACTACTTTTTTCGTAAACACGCGAAGATCGATCCCGTGTGTGTATTGCAGGATGCCTCCGACCACTGCGCCACACGCGCTGCTGTCTCTATGTTTACCCACGAAAATACTCCGTAGAGAAAATGGTGACTTGGACATCAAGCGAGGAAACAATGGACTCGTTGTTTCAAATAAAATTAAATGGTTTGTTTTTTTTTCTTCTGAATATGTCTTAGTTCCATGTCTTCTTCTTAGCTGTTTTCTGCATTTCACATACGTTGAGAAGTAGGTGGTAATATCAGCAACCGAAGAGTTCATAACATTTCTATCTTTATTTAGCCGTGACCTCTCATATGTTCCAATTACGACTAGTCATCCTACAACACAAAAAACCACAAAAAGAATATTCGCGCAACTTTCGTTTTCTAGCGGTGTCATTTGTCATGTCGATCTGATCGCCGAAACATCATTAAGGACGAGCTCACATGAAGTTTGTGCTACGCGAGAATTCGTCCTCACTGATCGAATAGATAAAAATCTTTGTAGAAAAATCCTCATATATGAATGCTGTATTGGATTAATTCGCTGGTTATGAATAATTCAATAATTAACTTTGTCACAAGATCTACGATTAAGACAGACGAGTGGACGGCCCGATTTCCCCTCTAGCACTTTTTCATGGACCAACTCAACGATATGTTTCGTCTCATAGCTTTCCGAGGTCAGGAAACTGAATGCGTTTTGGTTTTTCCTCTTTTTTTGACGAATTGAATGTTAAGAAGACAGTAGAGTCGATATCGTGCCAGAATAATCCTTTTCGAGAAATAATTCGGGGTCACGACAATGTGCATGCAGGGGTGAGAAAAAAACGCCTAGCACTGTTATGAGGCTTTTTCTAGAGAAAATTGCCAAATCGGGCCGTCAAGTTTGACATTGTCCTTAATATGTCAGACGGCGAGATATTTCGTTGCAGTTCGATGCGGTGCGGTACTGGAAAGCCTGGGTGCTGGTTTGTGGTGCCGTTCTGTCGGGGTTGAACGCATTCCTCCTAATGCTCGAGGTTAAACCAGTTTTCAATAGATCTTGATAAATACTTCGTTAAAATCGCATCTGCTATGATATGAATGCACCCGTCTGATATTCGATCAGTTCGTCATGGAAATATTGTTGTGGTTGTGTATTGCGTCATCGTTCCGCCGTGTTGTCGTCCATTTGTTTTTTGGTGTAGGAGATGCATGATACGAACCGATTTCAAAAAGGAGCAAGACTTCAATAGCAAGTTTTCGTACCAGCAAGTGCTAGGCTAACACTTAGCCTTATTGGATTCGAGAGATAGAGCGAATAGACGTTATTCAGAATTGCCTTCTAGAAGAAGAAAAATAACTAGAAGAAAATTAGCTAAGTCGAAGTAGAATAGAACAAAGCTCCCGCCCAGCCAACATGCCATCCTAGTTCGCCGGCTAACGTACGTACGGCAAGTGAATTTCATTACAACTTAATTGACTGAACGGATCACAAGAACTTGAGGAAGCTCATTAAACAGATCGATTTTAATGTCTTACTGTATTGACAACTTTAGGCGAGTTTCCGGGAAAACCTTATTGTGGCTAACATTAGGGCGCCTTCGCCTTTTTCAGAATCTTAATGACTCGTGGTCGTATCCAGTTGAGTCCAATGGAGCGGTTCATCGCTTGAATAGACAACCACTTGCCAGCACCTTTCCATCGCTTTCTTGTCCTTTTTATATAGACCGTCCCAGTTTTTTAAAACCAGTAGGGAAATGGAAGCGCTTGTAGCAAAGTGGTTAGTGGCTCCCAGCAATACTACATGGGTTCGATCTCGCATCGTAGACACACCATGGCCTCTATTTCTCCGGAGTCGCCAAATTGGTACTAGACTTGTCTGGAAGAATAACGGTACTGGCTCGATACATAGGCAGACCACCGCAAATCATTATATAAGTCAGATATGCATTAAACCACCCAAAAAGAGTGTTTGATGAAGTCGAATGCATGGCGCATTCCTCTGATATTGATCAACGCCCAAAGCTTTATCCTTTATTATTTTATGGGAATATGCCAGAACGTGAAACAATCTTGAATATAACCGTCTTTGATTGGCTAAAAAGTCCGTAGTGTTCACATACATTAAGTAGAGCTACGAAACCATAAAATATATTGAATGCATTTGTCATTGTCATAGCGTTTAATTAGGAAGAACTCCCACTTCTTCAAAATTTACCTGTGCTACCTGTCCTATTTCCTGTTCATCGACATTACTGATTTGCTCCTGCTGACGCCAAAATAATCTTCTTCACTAGATCATGTCGCTCACTGCCCAGGCTTCAGTTGCTCGAACAAATGGCAATAAAAGACTACCACTTTTAATAGAATCCTCCTTTTTTAGACCATCTCTCGTGAGAGGATAGATGTGTGTATCTTGCCAAGTTGTGTCATGGCATAGTACTCTTAGCTAATCTTGGGGAAGCGACTGTCTCAACCATTTTTCGTCTTGAATGGTTTTGATGAGTGATAGTCCTTCCACTGTACATGCTAGTTAAAACCCAGGTACACTTAAAAGCCGCTATAAGGCTTTAAACCATGCAGGAAATGAGGAGGATCCTGTAAGCTATGAAATTAACTGTGGCATTAGTAAGACGATTTCTCGTCGCTGAACATAGGAGTAACCTAACGGAGAGGTTCACTGAAGAGATCGATCATACTTGCAAAGAGGAGGTGATGCATCCTTGACATATTCATAACCCTATTACTTTGTACTGGACGCGGTCATTACATTCATGCTTGTTGCAGAAGAGTTTTGCAGAAAGACCTACACTGATACGACCAGAGAGCTTGTTAGAAGCAGCACAAAAAAGAGCTAATGTATCCATCTGTAAAAATGCTGTCGCGATTTGTACAAATACAGTGTTTCGATGTCGGTTCAGATGATTGTAGATAATCACTAAAACTCTTCACCGAAACATGGCATTGATAATAAAAAACTTTTGACCAACTTCTTCCGTTCCTCTATCTCCATCTTCATTCTTAAGAGGACATTGCATGAGGCATAACCAGTTGAAAAGCAGGATTTCGGCGCGGATCT